ATATTTTGCGCAGTAATTAATTGAATAATACTGATTGAATCTTTACGCAATATGATTGGTCGGTTCAAAAATCTCTCACACTTTCTTCCCGCAGCGTGTCCAGATTTAGAATCGACACCCGCCTAAAGCTGATGTTTGCTTACGAGAGCTCGACGCTTTCAGTGAGATCTATTAGCGCTTTAGAAGGGATATCCCGTACAACACGGCTGATGTGGCTCGGCAAAAAGACGCTACATGTCAACCAAGCGCATAAGTAACATCCCGCCCACGGTAGTCAAGGTAGACCCGTCGCATAAAATCAGCCGTCGTGGTGGCTGGTTCTCGTAAGCGGCTACCTAAAGGAGCCCGATCGCTCACGACGATGTTGACGGTCTGGCATTGAGAGCTTGTGGGGCGCCAGCCAAACTGTTCTCGAACAACTCACGGCCATGTCTCCACTGCAACGTGTGACAGTGCCAAAATGGCTTTTGAAGATCAGGCCTGTCGCTGTCGAGACGATGGTGATTTCGTTTGGTTCATTTTGGTAGCGCAGTTCGGCCATCTTGGTGTCATGGCTGGTTAGGGTGGTGGTCTTTTCGGTATCGATAAATGACTGTGCTGAAGGAGTCCTTCGGGGCCAACGCAGGTCACCATAGTGGCACGTCACACAGCAGTACCTTGTTTGGACTGGGCAAGCCGTTATTGTAATACATTTTGTGTAAGCGGGCGTAGAGGAAGATGCGCTTTGTTTGGTAGAATGGAGAATGAATTGGTAACGCTAATCCTATCTAACGCTACAGCTAAGGCACGCTAATCAATCGTTCTTGGTTAGCAAACACGCAGTAATCTTGGGATCGATGCATTGGCCAGGGGCGGCCATTACAGGGTGACGGCAAGGTTGCCAAAGAGTGCTGGCGAAAGTCGGTGTCGAGAATAGCGGATGTGTCCGGATAGTGTACACGGTTACACCATCCCACACTTTGGACCGCAGAATACGCTGAACGAAAAGGGTCGCTCAACTGGCAGAGATGGCCGCAGCTCTTCAGGACGTGGTGTCTGTGGTTGTCGAGGGGGGTGCTTCCATGACGCCGATGCAAGTCTTTGGATGCCGCCCGGTCGCCGAACGTGATTTGATCTGGACAGAGCGGTCTGACTTGTGGTTGTCGTCAACGCGGACGTTTGCTGGGGTGACTCGCAATGACGCGGCGCGAGTGACGGAGCGCATGGCACGGCTGCGCGAGATGTCGGATTACGTCCTGTTGGACGCCATCAGCGTGGGAACGTACTTGAAGATGCTTCGAAGTGGCGGCCATGAAGACTTGGAAAGGCACATCCTTTGGATAGTGTGCGCCTTCGAGCAACTTTGGGTGGCGGTGGCGCAACCATTGGTGTTCACGGCCTTCAAGGGGCGTATGAAGGCCCAGTGCCCTGGATGGGTCGTGGACATGGGGTTGATTGCTCGACGAGGAGACGAGACGATGTTGGAGTACATCAGCATTTTCGTCTTCTCGTTGGTGGGGCGAGGACGGGGTGGTCGGAACGGGAAGTGGCCGACGACGACTACGGAGTTGGCCAATGCGCTGACTAACGTCGCGATGAACCGTCACGGGAAGTACCATCGTCTTCAAGGCGCCGTCGTCGCACGGATCGCGACGCGCGTAGCATGGCGGCGCGATCATGAGGTAAGATCGCATTTGCCTCGTCGTCTGATATCCATCTTGTAGTTGCGGCAAATCGACGACCTGATTGCGTCCACCGAACGTCGACGAGTCGGTTGGGCTCCTGCGCGGCGGTTGGAAGACCGCGAGAGGGAAGACAGTCGGTCGACTGCGTGGGCGGCCGCGCCGGCAAGTCGGAAGGCGGCACGATACTTTGAAGTGCAGGGGGATCCATATGCGGGGTATTATCCCGCTCCGGCGCCGTTGCCGAACTTCGTCGGCCAAGAGGAGGACGGTGAAGAAGAGGAGCCGCGGGACGCGAGCGAGTGCTTCCATCGTTGCATCGTCGTTGGTAGAAGAAGTGTTAGGTAATAAATACCTCTTCAGTTTTCCCACGTAAAATGTCTTGTGTACGTGCCAGTCGTCAGGTAG